GAGAGTGCACTTCCTACTGGAGTTTAATTATGCAGCAATTCCTTCTTTATTCCTTTATCTTATTGAGATTTTGACCACACATATGCATACACCTACCATGGGCTGGCCCTAGAGTTGTCTTTTGTTGTTTTGTTTTGTTTTATTTTGGTTTTGCTATAGGGCACATGTGCTCACCAATGGGAGACAGAGAGAGGGAGAAAGTGAGAAATCACGCCCCAGTGGGGATGGCTATGCCACAATCCCTTCTCCTCCGTCTCCTCTCAGGATTTTAGGCATGCACACACACACGCACCCAACATGTTTTCAAGCCACCAGCTCCGGGACTCAAACTGTGCAACTGGCCATGTGGGATCCAGCACCTTAACCTCCATGCCACTGGCTAGCTCCCTATAGTTACCTTTTGATAATTGTTTCTGTTTTGTTCTGTTTCTTCCTTTTTTTTAAAAGAATTATTTATTTATTAATTCCATTTGCTATCATTATTTTTTTTTAATTTGACCAGAGAGAGATTAAGGGAAAGTGAGAAAGCTAGCCGCCAGGACCAGGACTAAAACTGCAGTCAGTCATGTGAGAATCCAGCACCACAGAGTGAGAGAGAGAGGGAGAGGGAAAGTGAGAAAGCAAGCTGCCAGATCTGGGACTTGAATTGCATTCGGCCCTGTGGGAGTCCAGAGCCCTTAACCATAATACCACGTGCCAGTCACTGTTTTGTTCTATTCTTAATTGCCAAAGGGTACATATGCTTATCAGAGAAAGAGAAAACGCACCCAATGGGGCATGGTCATGGCCCCAGTGACTTGAAAAATACACTGGGCTCATATGTGCAGATGCCCAAAATTCCAACAGGATGGAGAAAGGAGAAAGACTGCAGCATGACCACACTCCATTGGGGGTGCTTTCTCCCTCTTCCTTTTTCTCTGTCTCTGCTTCTCTCTGTCTCTATTTGGTAAGCACATGTGCCCTTTGGCAAAAGAAAAAGAAAGAAAATAATCTAGATAAAACTGAAAGTGTACTGAGTATTATATCAACTGACAACTAGTGAGGAGTTTTATCTATTTTGCTTGTCTATTTAAGCTTTATATACACACGCTTTTTTGGAAAATACATATTTCTGAATACATAAACAATTTAAATATATTTATAATCATATATAAATTATATACATACATGCAGAGACACAAAAATACACACTTTCTCTTTCTCTCTTATTTAATTAATTTTAGCTTTTTTTTTTTAACTTTCAGATTGTGCATACACTCATCAGGGAGAGAGAGAGAAAAAGAGAAAGCACCACCCCTCCCAGCAGGGCATGGTCATGCCACAATCCTTTTGCCTCCAATTCTCCATCCCATCAGGAATTGAGGCATGCACACACATGTCTAGCATGTTTTTCAAGGTGCCAGGGCCAGGATTCAAACAATGGTCAGCCATGTGGAATCCAACTCTCAGCACTTAGCCACTGTATTATAGAGCTGGTCCTGCGCTTTTCTTATTGTTTTATTCTACTTTTTATTTTGCTTTTCTTTTTCTGCTTTTTTTTAAGTTGGCATTTATCTTGCTAATATTTTTACCTTCCTTTAATTCATAAGAGTATTTAAAGTTACTAATTTCCTCTGAACACGGCCTTAACTTTATTGGGATTTGGATATGAAACAGTCTCTTGGGCCGGTCCCACAGTCTAGTGGTTAAGAGAGCTAGATCCCATACAGCCAGCCATGGTTTCAAACCAGCCCAAGCGACTTGAAAAACACACTGGACATTTGTATGTGTGTGCATGTCCAAAATCCTGAGAAAGTGGAGAAACAGAGAAGGAACTGCAGCATGACCATGCCCCATTGAAGGATGCTTTCTCCCTCTAGCTAGCTCGCTCTCTCTGTCTCTCTGATCTCTCTCTGGCAAGCATACATGGCTCTAGCAATTGAAAAAGAAAAAAAGAAAAGAAAGAAACAAGACTGAAAAAAATGTAAATCCTTAGGAAACATAGAATAATAACAAAAAATGGGGACCAGCAGATGGTGTAATGGTTATGTCACTGGACTCCCATGTAGTTAACCACCATTCAAGTCCTGGACTCAGAGGCTTAAACTCACACTGGGCACATGTGCGTGTGTGCCCAAATTCCCAAGAGAAGAATGGAGGAGAAGGGACTGTGGTGTGGTCATCTCCCCTGTGGGCTGATTTCTCACTTTCCCTCTCTCTGTCTCTCTCCAGTGAGTACATGTGCCCTATGGCAATAAACCTTAAAAAGAGAGAGAGAGAAAGAAAG